TCTATCTATCTATCTATCTATCTATCTATCTATCTATCTATCTATCTATCTACCTATCTATCTGTGTGCCTGTCTTCTTTACATAAGTGCTGACTTCTGTGCGGAAGTTGGGAAAGAGGAAGTCACTGTTTGGGGTAAGACTGTGTGTTGCGCAGGAGCTATAGTGAGCTTCTGAAAAACCGGATTATATTTTTAATAGTTCTATATTGCTAAATACAAAACAACTGTAGCACGCCATTTCAATAGCTAGTTGTTGGCTATGAAACTGAAGCATGGTAGCTAAAATGGTATCATGGGTAAGCAGATTACCAGCTGGCTGTAGATGGGAAGGCCTGCTGTTTCAGCTCTTCTTGGAAGGTCTTGTCTCTGTTTTTGCCTGGCGGGGGATTGGGGATGTCGCAGCTTTGAGGCGTCCCAGCGAGACCGTTTGAACGGCCGCGCAATTAGATTAGCGTGGGCCAGAACTAATTGATACAAATATGACTGTAGGGCCAGAATGGTCTGCTGCCTTCTGGATAAAAGCTTTTATTAATGGTACTAACCCGGTGTGATGGTCTTGTTTGCTGCCGCTGATGTTCGGTTTGCTGTTGCCTTAGAAAAATTATAAGTGCTAGCAAAATTCTAGAGTTATCCCCCCACCCCACCCCACCCCCGGCAGCATACAGTCTACATTTCAGTCAGCCCTGAGGCCTCTGCTAGTTCTTTGCTCATCACTACAATTAGGACAGGAGTGCGGAGCTTGGTGACCCAGATATAAATGAAGCTGGAAACAGCAGGAACGGTTGAGGGAGGCGACTAGGGGCAGAGGTGAGAGGAATCCACTCGCCTTTATATTAAAGGGCGCAATTTAAATCACATAATTACCTTCATTTCAGAGTGTGCCTGTCTGAAAATGCAGTGTCTCATTGTTCTGTAAGGGGGGGGGGGGGTTCTTCGTAAGCTGTAGAAGGGCAAATTTGGGTTGCCCTGGAAAAATATCAGCTGTGGGACGGGGCTATGCTAGCCAGGTTCCTGTTAGCTGGAGGATTTGTTGGTTGTGGAGACTGTGGGGGTCATGAGCCCCCCCTTGGGGACAGAGACCCCCCCTGGGGATCTTCATCATGCCTAATAATGTTTTTTTTTTTTTTTTTTTTTTAAATAAAATAAAAAAAAAGCTTTTTCTCTACATTTTTTTTTATTTTTGAACAGAAAGCACCAATGATAAACCAGCTTACATCTAAATAAACGGTACTTGGGCCTGTTATTATAGTTGCGATTATTGTGATTATTGTTGTTACTGTTATTATTATTAGTAATAGTAGTAGTAGTAGTAGTAGTAGTAGTAGTAGTCATTGTAGTGGTAGTAGTCGTCATAGTAGTAGTAGAAGTATAAATAATGTACAATAAGTAATAAATGCATCAAATTGCCAGATAAAATACTGGACACGATCTGTTTCAGCAGAACTGACATCTGACCAAAATAGGGAAGATGGAAATGGAGATTTCAGTGACATATAAACTTCAGGACACAAGGTCAGTCTGCCACCCTGGTGAGCCGAGTGTGCAAAATGACACAAGAGAGAAAGAAAGTCATGCCTTTGCTCAGAAACGAGGACTTTCTCCATTTCCTCCATAAGCCATAGTCGCTCTACTCGGCTGTCTTTTGCAAAATTCTCGCAAAGATGTGCAACACTTACAGAGCTGGTGTGTGGAAGGTTCTTCTGTGTGGATGTTAACAGGGTCCTGGGCTTGTTGACATACTGTTTACTGGCCTAATTCAGTTTTGTATG